TTTCTTTTGTCTTTTTGATCGTTGCGAATGTTTGGATGTACCTTATATTTTTCAATATTTTCCAATGTTTTCTCGCTTGTCTTTTGTTTATACTGATGTACCTGCAACGATCATTTCAATGTTTCCCATATTTATTCCAAAACCAACGTATTTTTCTTAAAGAACCATCGAAAATATTGGTCTCATTTTCTTTTTAAATTAAATGATAAAGCTAATTTATTCGTGTGCAACAAATTCTTTTGGAGCCATTTACAAGAAGAAAAAAAATTCTATATTTTAAAAAATTAATTGTTATCGCTATAGCTCTTGTCAAACTGAATTACTTGAACCATTTTTTACAAGTGTGTGTTTGTACACAGAATCGAAAAACTCTACTCATTATAAAACTGAGCACACTAAAATAAGAGTACGTTGGTAAAGTTTGAAGGAAATCTAATTTTGTTCATTTAGTAATAATAAACGAAAGAAGCCCTATGATGGATGAAATGATGTAACGTAGCAGTACGTGATGCAACGATGCACCGCAGATAATAAATCGGATCTTTCTTAAACGATCTGTTCGAACCGAAAAAAATACCCAAGTCATTACAATACGAATGTTAATATTTATAGCATCGTCGCCTCTAGCGGCAATTACATATCCATGTTAACGATCCATACCATATACTAATATTTCATAAATTATTGTGTAATCCTTCCAAAGCTTACAGTAGTCATTCTCAGTGCAAATTACATATCTAAACGAACAATCCTTGTTATGTGCTAATTGATCATAATATTTCTTATCTTTCTAGAACTCATGTTTACAGTCACTTTTAGCGCCAATTACACTTTTAAATGGACGATTCGTAGAATGTATCATTTTCTTATTATTTCGTTCACCTTGTACTATTTATCCATATTTATGTGGCCGTAATAATATTTCCCGAAATCTACAAATTATTAAATATAAGAGAATAATCGATAAAAAGGAACCGTGTAAACGATATGACGAGCATGAAGGAGTTATTCTTGGGATTTCCACGCGATGTTTGTCAATGATCGATCGTGAACGAACGTGGAATAAAATGCAGATGGAAAGTGCAAGAAGAGGGAACGATTTTAACAACGGTGCACGATTCGATAAATATCGCGTCGAAAGATATAAAATAGAGAACTGCGCGAGAATTGAAGGTCGATGATGCGTAGTAGCGAAATTTTAGATACATCTAATATGTGAATATGGTAATGCGAAATTCATGTCGTCGGGCCTTATAGAGCTCTTTCATGAATACATAATTATATTACAAAACATACGCATTAAGCACTCAACGGGAACGAAAAACCAACGTCAACCGAGACAATACAAACATGGCGGGAGACGTGAGCTCGAAATAATTGGACAAAATAAGAACGAAATGCGCAATCAATTTCCCTGAACGACAGATAAAATTGCAAAGCTAAAACGAGCCGAAGGTATCAGTGTCATGCTGTGCAAGAACGAGGAAAAATTTCCGAAACGTATTGCAATTACTGCTCTCCGTGCAAGGTAAATAAGTTCGCAGAGACGAAATTCTCGGCCACGTTGTTATCTGGTATTTACTAAAACCGTACGACGAAATAACAAATAATTTCAGCGTCTGCATCACGCCAAGTTCATCGCCGAAGAAACGAGATAAAAAGGAATCGATTAATCGTTCTCTCCTATCAATTCTCACGCGGTGTTACGGCTTTTTCTCGTGCACGAGATAAACCTTTTATGCGTCTTGAAAATAATCCGAAAGGCCATCGGAACGTTATTAAAAACTTGTTGCTTTTACGAACCACCGACTCGTAAATGTCGTTCCGAGAGACATTAAAATTTTGGGAAATCGATCCAAACTCGAACCTAATCGCGTTCGAAATTGACGATTTAATTATCGATAAATAGTCTTTGTACATTTTGATCAATTTAACAAAAATATTATCTTTCAATCCGATTAGAATACATTTACGACTTCGATTGAAATACACGAAGGGGCATTATTGGAACGTTAGAAATTTTTCAATCATAGTTTTTCAACCGCTTTCGAACATTCTAACGTCAGTGGGAACCACATAATCGAATGAAAATTAACGCCGCGTAATAAATTCACGAGCTAGCAATAAAATTAAGGAAATAATAGCGGTCGATTAAGGTTTTCCCAATTAGAAAGCAAACGTTGAATTAACCGGTGAAATACGATCGGTACTTTTGCATAGTAAAATCACACCCTCGTGACGTACGCGCCAGCCGGCGAAACGCGGCGCTTTGCTTCCGTTTTTACTGCAAAATTTTCCATTGCGTACCAGCCGAGTAAATTTCTCGTACCTGATCACTGAGAGTTCAGTGGTAGTAGATTCGAAAGTTAGCCTTCCACGCGACCGTCTCTGACTGTTTGTGTCTTTCTACGACAGGGCCGTATCGACTCAAACAAACTGGGACAATGCGCTCGTAATAGCAAAATTCTCACGTCTGTAGCAAACGATAAATAATTTCAACCACCGATTAAACTCTGAGAAACCAACAACAATTCTGTGATCCGAACTCCAAATAAAAGCTGACGTATCCAGAGAGTATTTTTTCGAAATAAAAAATTCGTGAAAAAATTAAATTTTGAACGTTTGTTCCCCCCCTCGCCTCAAATGGTATTGAAATTAGAATTATATTTATTAGAAACGTCGATTAGAAAATTTTAAATATTATTTTATTTTTTTTAATTCGAACGTTAATGTTTCTGGTATTTTTTAGAATCGTGCAATTCTCTCCATTTCGTAACGGTATTTAAGAGCTTGAAAAGTTACGCCGTTTGTGGGTTACGTCTGTTTCATTGCACCTCTAGTCGGGTCTGCAGGCCAAGTAAGTTTGTCTACACGTATCTGCGCAAATCTCCTCAACTGATTTACGATGCGCCTCTTTGTCAAGTAACTGCTGAATATAATTGCATATACGGGATGATTGAATACTGTTAAATAAGCAGTAAATTGTGCGCCGAGGCTCGTCAAAATCAAACTTATTCTCGTATTGCATCATAACACGCACGTACAATTAGATAATCGAAGAAAGTCGATTACGAAAGCGAAATAACAAGAGGAAAGAAATTCGAAATTCTTCATAAATTAATCGCCGATTGTCGCGTAGAAAACAAATCGAGTTTGTTTTCGACAATCATTCGCGCGATTATCGTAGGCTCGATTTATCTGGCGGCTGTAGAAAAAAGTGTTGCCATTACAAAACGTTGACATTGAACTTCAAATAACCCAAATTATAACGGAGATAAAGTTTCGAGCAAATTAATTCGGTTGTAAGAATTGATTCGAAGAAACAGAACGAGTAAATAACAAACTTCTGAGTGCACAATTAATAAATATATTGTGATCTATGGAAAGCATAATGCTGTCAATAGAGTATGACAAGTGTATTATAATCAATTATTTGTTGATTTCCAAACTATTATACATACTCGTTCCTTTTAATTTCGATAATTTCTCTCTTACTTTTCCTTATTCTCTTTCTCCGCTGGAAGCTATATAAATTTTTATTCCAACCTTTGTAAATTAACAAATCTGAATATTTATAATTTCTATGCAATTAATTATATCTCTGTTCGTTTACAGCTAGTATTTTGAAGTTGGTGAATCTGTTAATAATCGACTACGATCGAGACAGTTTTGTTAAAAGTCTGGGACAATGAAAAGGATGTATCTTCGTGCGATTAATGCGTCTCCGAGTAAACACGAAAAATACTAGTTACGAGACAAAAGTATTATGCAAGGTGATCGTCGCGCGTACAACAGTTTTTCTCGGAATCCCGGCTGTTACCCATCGCCATAGATATTCAAGACCGATAAATTTACCGCGCCGATTTGCAAACGCGTCCCGACGAGCGCGGTTTTAGCGGCTAACTAACAAAACCGGGGATACCGCGCGCGATTTGAATCTCTCCGGCCGAGAAATCATCCGAGTCTTCGTTATAATTCGAGATTCTCGCCGTGCAGACGGACCGTTAACTCGTTCACGTACCGATGTTCCTGCTCATTATCATCGGCCAAACAGGCTCGGGATAGCATTTCACTTGTAAAACACCCGCTGTTTCTAAAGTGGCTCGGTCAAATTAATTCTAATTACCGTGCGTATGTCTCGCGTACAAATAGTCCTGCTTGAAACATGAGCCGCGCGCGAGTCGTCATTGAGAATCGCGCGAAATCCGTTACTTTATCTCTAACGAATTACTTGAACCGCAAATGTTTAACGAACGCGAGGAATTCGCTCCGATGGGAACTTGTACATTGTTCGAAACGAGTACGAGATAACTGATACTCAATTTTTAATAATATCCAAACCAAAGTATATATTATTAAACATTTTGTATCAAATTAACGACGTTAAATATATAACAATAAATCTAAAGATTGAATATTCGACAAAAATGTTATTCTTTTCGTTGAATTGCTTCGAGCAACGTACTACAAAGTTGGCGCGTAATTTGAACTGTATTCGTGTCGCGCGTAACATATTCGAACGGTGACAGTTTTGGCGCCATTGCATTCCTTTCGTACCGTACGGATTCGAACTCGATCCTCGACGATTGGGTCATAACCACTAAATCGACACGATTTTCACAGACAAACGGCACGAAAAAAGTATTCGTATGCTCGACGTGATATCCCAAATACAAGGTCGCTACAAATCTTTCCTGATCGATCACCGTAGTTCCCCCTTTTAAGAGAACGAATTCTAACTACCTGCCGGAGTCGACGTCGAGGCAAACGATTGATAAAATAGACGTGACGTGATTTAACACAAATTCTAAAGAAGAATCGAGAATACCGCTTGGAAAGATTTATCACGTTGTTACCGATGACTCCACGGCTCGAAAAGAATGCAACGGTACACGTACACGCGAGCCAATATTCCGCGAGCACTCCGGACACGGACACGGACACGGACACGTTTAACCACATTTTATTCCCCCCGCGACAAACAAAAACAACCGACTCACCGTTTCCACCATATCGAACCCTCCTCCGTACACCATCTCGTCCTTCCCGGCGTTTCCCCGTAGTATCTCACTTTTGACAGTTGCCACTCGGTGTCTTCCAGGTGGTTGATGCCTCGGAAGCTGCCTCGAGGGGTGGCCCAGTCGATCTCTCGAATTGAGAGGAGAGATCGACTCGTACGCTAAAGCGGCTCCAGTCTCTTCGCGCGAAGGAAACGCGCGACGCACGATCCCGTTTGTATATATTCGTATTCTTCGCCCTGTCTCGTTTCCCGTTCCTTCCCTTCACCCTGTCGAGTCTCGCTTCCGTCTCGTTCGCTCTGGTTTTTCTCGCGTGTTTTCGAACCTCCCTCGACTTCTCGAGGCTTTCGTGTGCCGCGTGCGACTGACTGACTGACCGACCGACCGCTGAGCGCGCGACCGCCACGAACGAACTTCGAATTCGAGCGTGCCGAGATCGACCGACCGCGGCCGAGCCGAGCCGAACGCGACTCGACCTACTATCGCGCGCGACACAACCTTCCTCGCGAAACTTCCGACGAATCCTTCCACACTGACAGCACCTTCCACAGGACCGATAATACTGTTCCTGTCGGTCGCACGAACGATTATCTCCGAATTACCTTCCTCTTCCTGCTACCACGTATCCCATTTCATCGACGTTTCCCCGCTATCGGCGAGTTTCCTGCGCGATAACCTCGCGAAAGTGTAAGAGGCACGGGGACGCACTCACTCGGCGCACTCGCGTGGTTTTCAAGGTTCCGTTAAATCGCGAACCGGCCGGGCCCTGGGCTTCGTACGAATTTTCCGAATGACATCCGCGCGTGGGACAAGATAGGCGAAACTCGAGACGCACGACGGCGTTATCTTTCGTCGATCGTGGCGATTTATGCGCGTCTCGTATCCCCGAGTCACCTTTGTATGACTGGTCCGTGGAAGCAGCGCGGGACGAGTTCGTTCAAGCCGTCGACGCGACCTACTAAGGACCTACGCGCATGCGCACCGTACTCCTTGTTTTTACCGATGATACGACCACCGTACAATTTCCTTAACAATTTACGATTAAAATGCAGCACGCTGGAACGAGACATAAATTCCACGGGAATTTCAAGCGACAATAAACCGCAATATTACGTCTTGTTGTTTATTGTTAATAATCGCGTCTCGACACGACGATTAATATTTCTTTTTCTTTCGAGATACGATGCTATTATTAACGCCGTTACGAAGTAAATTTGTAGTCTGTAAGGTCGGATTACGAAAGTTAATAAATGTGTTAATAAATGTTTCCCATGTCATCAAAGATAGCCACTTGAGGAATCGTCTTAACTCCAAGTACAAGGATGTTTGCTGTTGAATCTTTTCTGGTCGAAAAGCACCACCAGGTCCACGATCTGTTTCTTCTTGGTCATCTACCACTCACTCTTTCGCACTCTGTACCGGTCCGATACAGAGTCCCAGGGGCCCCACGTGGAGGTGAGGCGAGTGGATTTGACCAGAGTGGGACCGCCAACATCGCCGAAGTTCTCCGCACCAGGTTATTACCAAGGTAACAGCCCAGATATAGGAGAACATCAGCTTAATCGGGGTTTTCGACCTGTCTAAAGACAGGAAGTCCCACTCCAGCCTCGTGCCCCCAAAAAACTATAAACAAAATATATAGCTTCATTTAAAAAAATAAAATCATTGATACTCCTTCGCTTGTGAAGAAGATTTGAGAGTTAATGAGATATTAACGAAAGATCCTCGACGAAACGGGGATCTGTTCCAAAATCAGGTAATAACGGTATCAGAGCGAGATTCTATCTCGCTGCAGACCGTGTTGACATAGTCGTTACGATAACAAAACGATCCAATCGCAATGTAAGGACACGGCAAAAGGGAAACCGAAAGATGTTATCGTAACGAGCGAAAATAACCGATGAAAACCTTTGTTACGGCATTCTTCTCGCGCGGGACGTAGCCGTAGAATCCGCTACCAGCCTTGATCCGACAGTAAATAACTCGGTACACGCGTAGCGGGCTCCTTGGAAACGCACTCTAACGATCCGCGCGAGAGCACGCAGGTATTTGCGTGGGCGATTAGTCGGCGATTAGATCCGCGACACGCTTTATGGAGGAAAAGTGGACACAATGGCCCTTTCTAACTTATGGCGATGCAGGACGATGGCGCCGTACCGAAGGATTGTGAAACGGATTCCAGGCCAGACTTTTCCGGCTGCGCGGAGCTCGCGCGAGCGCGCTCGTGACGTAAATCTCTCGTGAAATTCTACTGTCTATGAAAAGGCGGAAATTACCCTTTCGTCCATTGTAGAAATTATGCTCGAAATAATTGGGGTATTTGAAATTGCACTCCCTAGAACGAAGCGTGTATCTTACGATGTTGGTATTTGTAACATTTTTAGTATCGTGAGATTTCATAGTATTATTAATTTTTCTAATAATCACCGGTCTAAAAATGTTAAAAATACTATATAAATCAAATAAACCATTAGTGCGAAGAATGACTTTGTATCTCCAATCAGTGCAAACAGTTACGTATAAAAGACCACTTTACATGTATATCAAATATTTTTTATATCGTGGAAAACTTTTAACGTTCTTTGTCTCGTTATTCGCGTTTCTCGTCATTGTAAGAACATCTTTAATGCTAAATTTTTCTACAACACTCCAGTTCGACTTCACCTTGAGTACAGCTCAATTATCTAGTTTCCTTACTTTAATTGCCACTGCACCATTGAACGCGTTGAGCATAAATTTCTTAGATTTATTTCTTATAAATTGTGTGTTACTCTCACAGCTACATCGAACAACTCTTGAAAACCGCAGAATCATCGCCGACTTATTATTTCTGCACAAAATAATTGACTGCCATATTCTGTGCCCCGGCATCTTACCGCACTTTAAATTCTATGTACCAATTAGAAACCTTACATTTTCTCATTATTTTATATCGAACACCATCGTACGCTACGAAATAATGATATCAACCGGATATGGATCAACACTGACAAATACTACAACAGTATCGATCTATTCAATCCTTCTTGCGTCTCTTTTAAAACACTCTGTTATTAGAATAATTGGCTTTAATTAGTATTGTCTACCACTACATCGCAGCGACTGTTTCATGACTTGGGCTTTTATCTTACTTCATGTTTATTCTACATTTTCTCTTTTTAGTAATATATTTCTGCAACCCAAAGAGGACCTAAACAATAAAATGAATTACCTAAACAAAACCTGAGTACCTAAACAAAAAAATGAAATTTACCCTCAAGATTCTGTTCTAATTAATACTTCTATCATCGAATTAAAAAAGACGCGTATCTTACAGAATGTAACGATAAAAGTAACAGCAAAGTGTAAGACCGTTTAAATCCACTTACAACTAATACGCAATTAACAAAGTTCAATTTAAATTTCTGTAATGGGTGTAGCTTTCAAAATTATATTCGCCTCATTTGAGCGGATGATTCTCTAATTACAATGACCAGTCTAATTCACGGAATGAGTCATTGGTTTAGAACGAGTCTCGTTCTAACGGTGCTGTCAACCAGTTTCAAGAAGAAAGACGTGAAACGAGGCAAATGAAAAATGATTTAATCCGACGACAAATTCCATAGAGGAGCGGATTGACGTAGCTACGATGGCGTGATTTCTACTATTATTGCACGATACAAATGCCCCGGCTGAACAAAAAATGCTCAGGATTCTTCAAATGCTTCGCGACAATCGAAGACGCACGCCGACGCGCATTGCTGGTCGTGTAAACGTCCAGCAATTTAATCCGTAGAAGAGAACATTTCCATATAGTCTTCTACAACTTGTTTCGAGAATCTCGTTGCAAACATATTAAATGACAAAAAATTTTTTTAATGACAAAAAATTGTCTCGTGCATTGTTCAGAAAAAGAATTTTAATTAATTGATGGTGGACTTTTTTTTTTAAATTATTTTATGTAAAGCAAATGTAACCCATACTAGCTTACAGAACGAAACTTTTTTGATCCTGTGACTGATGCTACTGTTTATTTTTTTTTAAATTTCTCTTCTTTGACGTTTCTAGATGTGGCCTGTTACGATTACTTTTCTCTACGTAAGGAGACGTTAATTTCACTGTTTCCGCGGGTGACAATTAACGCGTGTAATTGTACCGTGGATCTATAATTTAACACCGAGCAACGGAAACGATCGATCATGTGGCAACAGTAGCGCCGAGTTTTTTGTAACCACGTGCGTCATGCATGTAAATTTTTTATTCACCCTCGTTACGAGACGCTGAACAAAGCTTTCGCGCAGAGACTAAATCGTTGCGCGTGTCTTTTGAATTTCTCCCAGTTCGTTTTCCCTCGCGCCGCCGCGCGTTACGTCAGAAACGCTCAGAATTCTTGCGCAATGAATCGCATATGATGCTGTTCGGGACCGCGGGAGTACTTACGATCGCCTATCGCGTTTGCGGATCGCTCGTCCTAATCGGGATCACTTTCACTCGCCGGGATCAATAAATTTCTAGACAATGATTAATTTCGCCTCGTCCTTCCAGAAAGAAACGATCCGACGCGTATATAAATCTTCCGATTTATATATTGCTCCAGTTTAGGAACTATTCAAGAAAATTTATGCAATATTAAAATAAAAAAAAAGATGAGAGTTGTTGGGACCAGATTTTGAAAAATTTAAGAGCAATTTAAAAGGATGCACAAATCTTCCGATTTATATATTGCTCCAGTTTAGGAAGTATTCAAGAAAATTTATGCAATATTGAAATAAAAAAAAAAGAGAGAGATCTGGGATTCTGAAAAATTTAAGAGTAATTTAAAAGGATGCGCAAATCTTCCGATTTATATATTGCTCCAGTTTAGGAACGATTCAAGAAAATTTATGCAATATTAAAATAAAAAAAAAGATGAGAGTTGTTGGGACCAGATTTTGAAAAATTTAAGATGCACGATTGTATGATAACATTGTTGGTTATTAGTGTGTTTGAATAAACTTACGTGCGTCGTGGTGGAGCAAAGAAAAATATAGGTCTGTTGCTGACACCGATACCGAAAGAGCACAAGTTCTCGGAACGAGAAACGATTAGTAGATACGTAGATAATAACTTCCGAACGTTCTAAAATTCTAACTAATTGTCCGGTTATCTAGGTAAGTTCAACACAATTCTTACGCGGTCGACAACAAGGCGATCTGGGCGAGATGATAAATTTTACTGGTCTATTGATCTATCGATTTGAATGGTTAATATTACCCAATAAAAACACTTTGTGCGCTGTTATAGAATCGTTCACGGACTAACGATCAGGTCTACTCCAGTATGCAGTTTACGCGGCTGTGCTTGAATCGGTCATTCCCCGTTGCGAAACCCCATATCCGGCTGGGAAATTAAACGGTTTTGCACGTTGGAAAAATCAATTTACGTCCATCGGCGCAAATTATGACACACGAGTAAACA